TTTGCCTCACTGGTCTGCTTTGATGCCCACTTCTCTAATAGAAGAATCTTCAGCATTCTGATTCCTGGGACCCTGTCCCCAGTGAAATTCAAGCCAGGGACTCCACTGGGTTCCGGGAATCCACGGGTCTCTTAGGTGGCTCTGGGCAGTGACTCCTTGTGGAACACACCTGTCTGGTAGAAAGTGACAGGAGACATAACAGTGGGCTGTGGAAAGGTGTCTGGAACTGAGGGAAGAGGAGGCACAGGGCCATCCTCAAAGCCCAGACTCAGCTAGCATGAGGCTTCATGATGGCTGGCTGGCAGAGGGCTGGGCCTGGACTGTGGGCCCCAGAGGACTGAACAAACTGCCTGGGCTGGAGGAGTCTGGTGCTATGGCTCCATCTTAAAGGATGTGTGGATGGTAGTGTAAAGCATTTGCCTTTTTACACAGTGCTTCTACAGTCACACTCAGATAATCTACAGCATAGATACTCTGCAGGAGGGAAAGTCTTCCCAAAACTTTAACACCCCAAAGAATTGCAGTTTGTAAACAGTCTAAACTGTTTTCACCTTAGAAATCTTTGGGAGAGAGGTCTGATGTACACAGCATTTCCTGCTCACCCAAAGTCTCCCTCCCTCCAGGACAGAAGGGCTGTTTGATTTTTCTGCTTTCCAGGCCTGACCTGACCCCACCACCAGACGCTCCATCCCATGGAGATCCACAGAATGAGGGGGAGGTCTGGCTGTTGCATGACAAAAGTGGCTGCCCTCCCCCTACATGACCTATCTGTCCATTGTAAAAGTCCTCCAATCCACATCCACATCTTCTTTTGACTGTTAGCTAATTGCCCAATTACTTTATTTCCCCAACAGAACTCTTTGGGCTGCTGGGAATCCACATTCAGGAGCCCTAGCCTGAATCTTGGGAAGCCTCAGAAGTCTGGAGATTGGCCCTCTGTCTGCTTCTCATGCTGCCCAGCCCCCATCAGGACCCAAGCTTGGGATGCCTAAATTCCAGGTTGCCTGCAGCTGATAGATGGCTTCTGCTGATGAAGCAGGCCAGAGCAAGCCCAGCACTAGAGACTGAGGTGTGGGAAGAACTTCGGCTTTGAGTTGAACACCTGACAGTATATCCATCCTATATGAATCTGAGGAAACTGTAATCTCTCTGAGGCTGTTTTCTCTGTACCACTTTAAAACCTGGGACTGGAACATGAGCTGAGTGGTCAGTTTCTGCTCTGAGATACCTGGTACCTCACAGTAGCAGGAGAAAGAGGACTGTAGCCTTGTCTGGACCAGCCTTTCATTAGTGCTGGATGTTCCTGGCTACTCCACTCAAGAGAGGGTTCCCTAACTTAGGAAGGGGTTCAGTTTCCCAATGTAGACCACCTGTGTGTGCTCCTAGTGATAGCCCTCCCCAGGACCAGGTATTCCTGAGATGGAATACTGACGGGATGGTCTCTGGTCTACTGGGGGTTCACTTCTGAACTTGGCTCTGTCCTGATGCAGAAACACCCAGAGGACTTCTGGGAGAGGCAGGGATGCAGCAGGGAAGGGTCCCCGCCCCCCCATTCTACTATGTTCTCTGGAAACTGAAATTTCTGCCTAGTTGTTCTTGCCTTGGGGAGGGGATCCTGACCACTCGGGGATCCCCAGAGGTCCTCAGACCCAAGGTGTCCATGGGGTTGTTGAGAGGGCCCTTTGTGATATGTGCAGGTCAGGGAGACGACAGCAGTAGGGACCTGGCCTCCTTTGGCCTTGGGACAGCAGGTCCCAGCTGATCCACAGCAGGGTCTTGGGTGTTAGTTCCTTGGCACCATCCTGGCTATGATAAGCCACAGGGTTTCCTCTCCCACAGAGTCAAGGGTGGTGGACTCCTGCATATTTATGGGACACCAGCTCAGAAGAGTTTCCAGGGACTAAGGGCCACAGGTCCTAGTTGCCTGTAAATGTGACACTTCTGTGCCGTTTGGCCTGACTGAAGGCCCAAATGTTGGCATCCCCTAAGTCCTTATCCTGCTAATCACTTGCAAAGGAAGGTAGCCACGTTTCTTTTGAAGAAAGTCATGTTTATCAACCACAGAGGGCTGTTTGGGCCGGATGCAGGGTGGGAGCTTATATTTCAGGGGAGCCTCATTATGAGATGTGAGCTCTAGGATGGGATTAGTTTTTGTTTTTGTTTTGTTAGTGCTAAGGATGAAACTCAGGGCCTTGTACATGCTACTAGGCAAGCACTCTACCACTGAGTTACTCCCAGCCCTCAAGGTAGAATTTGAATTTGTCCTGGAGGATTACCTAGTTTCCTTGGAAACAGAGGTAGGAGAGGGAAGGAAAGCAGGCCAGAGATGTAGTCATGTTCTGTGACTCTGAGACTCCCTTCCCTAAGGTCAGCTGTCAGATTTTTGTATTTCTTCTTTTCTCAGCCTGCATACCATGTGGCCCAAATCCTACAGCATTTCCTTCAAATAACCCCAGCCTTGCCACTCACTAGCTGTCTGCTCTTAGGCAAGTCATGTAACAGTTTAATGCCTCAGTTTCTTCATCTATAAAGTAGGACTAATAACAACCTCATCCCCAGGTTACCTAAAGAGTTAACAATAAAGACCAGGCATGGTAGCACACACCTTTAATCCTAGCACTCGGGCTGCAGAGGTAGGGGGATCTTTGTGAGTTTGAGGCCGGCCTGGTTTATATAGCAAGTTCTAGGTGATCCAAGGCTACATTGTGAGACCCTGTTTCAAAAACAAAACAAAGCAGCTGGGCTTGGTAGCGCACACCTTTAATCCCAGCACTGGGAGAGGCAGAGGCAGGTGGAGCTCTGTAAGTTCAAGGCCAGCCTGGTCTACATAGTGAGTTCCAGGCCAGCTGGGGCTACAAGAAGACCTTGTCTCAAAATAAAAAAAGACCAAAAACAAAAAACAAACAAAAGCAAAACAAAGCAAGAACTGATTGTGTGTGTGTGTATAATTCTTAACAGTACATGACCTATAATTATTACCAGGTTTTTATTCTTCTTTCCTTTTTTTAAAAATTTTATTGCTTTTATTTTATGTGTATGAATATAATGCCTGCATGTATATAAGTGTACCCATGTCGTGCAATGCTCATGGAGGTCAGAAGAGGGCATCAAATCCCCTGGAACTGTAGTTGTTAGCTGCTGGTTGTTAGCTGGTTGTTAGCTGCCACGTGGGTACTAGGGATTGAACCCGGGTCCTCTGCAATAGCAGTCAGTGCTCTTAACTGCTGTGCCATCTCCTTAGTCCTTCTTTTCTCTTTTCTTCTTTTTCTTTTCTTTGCTCTGGTGGAAATCAGAACCACGGACTTGAGAATCCCTGGCAAATGCTTTACCACTGACCTACACCCTCAGCCTTATCAGAGTTGTTATTTCTTCCCCTCGTCTAATTCTAAGCCCACTTACTGCTATAAACTTTCTATGTATGTGTACATGTAAATGCACACACGTGTCTCTCTCTCTCTCTCTGTGTGTGTGTGTGTGTGTGTGTGTGTGTGTGTGTTGTGACAGTTTAGGCTGTTATCCAGGGTCAGTTCTGCCCTTGAACCTCAAAGGATTTTCTCTTGTTTGGAGTGTCTGAAGAAGACAGAATAAGGGTAACATAAGACAGGGCATACTCAGGAGGCCACAGTGCTCCTGACCCTGGGCAGGCAGAGAAATGATCCCTGCCTACCAGGCCCCTTGGCCCTTAGCTCACCACCCTCCACCATCACTGCTCACCTCCAGTAAGAATTGAGGCTATAGGAAGGGCTTCCCTTTGCACATACATAGATCCCTGAGTCAGAAGAGGCTGTAGGAGACAGAGGCCTGCGTTGGCATCCTAAGGTCTCCACTAACTGAACACTGTGGCAACTGACTTTGTCCTGTAGTGATCTGGTTTGTATCGGGAAGATGCACTAGAGGTTAACACTGCCTCCTAAGGCCTATGTAGATCCATGCTCCAAGCTTGGAACAGCACTTGGTACATGGTGAGCACTCAAGCAACATCTGCTGCTGATATATATATATATATATGTGTGTGTGTGTGTGTGTGTATTTATTTATTTATTTATTTATTTTGAGACAAAGCCTCACGTATCCCAGGCTGGCCTCAAACTTACTATGTAGCTGAGGTTGACCTTGAACTTCTGATCCTCCTTACCCCACCTCCCAAGTGCAGTGCTAGGACTTGAACCCAGATCTTTGAGCAGACTAGGGAAATGCTTCACTGAGTTACATCCCCAGACTCCATGCTGCTCCTATTGATGTTTTTAGAAGTCACAGTGATGAGAATTCAGCTTTCAGGCAGATGCCAATGACAGCAAATCCTTCTGCAGTGTTTAGTAGGCACCAGACACTGGGTCCATTTAATCTTCATGCCAACCCTGCAAAGTAGATTCTGTCATTGGTACCTGCTCCTTTAGATGAAGAAAACAAGGCACCAAGAAGGTATGTAAATCCCTGGAAGGTCAAACTTCTACCAAGCATCAGGAAGGATCCAACCGGTCTAAAATGGGAGCAGGAGGAAGCAATGGAGGCTGTCACCTCAATATGCCCCTGTGCCTGTGGCTGTGGAATGGACGTGCGTCTGGGCAGCTCTGGTCTCTGCTTTGCAGGTATCTGTCTCCTAACTCTGATAATGAGCAGGGCTCAAGCCAAAGTACTGGTGGTGTGAGCCCAATGGACAGACCCCTCCCAGAAGGAGTCTGCTGTCCCATGGGGGGACAGTCTGTTGTCTGAAGGGGCTCATCCTGTGGTACTCTGAGTGCAAGCCTGTTGTGGCTTCCAGACAGCTCTTTGTGCCCTTTGTAGACAGCCCCTCCTCAGCACTCAGGGGCTTGTCTGGTGCTGAGCTCCCAGGAGGTCCCAGGGGTGTGACTTCTCTCATCCTTCCTCCCTGCCCCCCATCCAAGGGCCAGCTATAAAGGCCAGTCCCAGCCCTCAGCAGAGCCATCCAGGCCCAAGACCCTCTCAAGGCACCTCGGGAACACTGGCATCCGAAGAGCCTCCTCCTCTTGGACCGTACCATGTGGTCCCTGTGGCTCTGCTGCGTACTGTGGGTGCTACCACTGGCCTGGCCTGCATTAGCCCTGACCGAGGAGCAGGTCTTAGATACCCTACTGCAGCAGCTGCAGCTCAGCCAGGCACCCATCCTGGACAGGGCTGACGTGGTCGGGTTGACCATCCCTGCCCATGTGAGGGCCCAGTATGTGGCCCTGCTGCAGCGCAGCCAGGCTGACCGCTCCCGAGGGAAGAGGTTCAGCCAGAATTTTCGAGGTGAGCCCTCCCCTGCTGCCCCTAGTCTCTGGGAAGTGCAGTCTGAAGGTGCTCACTCTGGGCCCCTGCTTCCTGTGTATAGGGGCTACAGTTTGAGGAGCAGTGAGGAGTTTGCATGGCTTGGGAGGGTGGCTGGACCTAGGCCATGCACTGAAGACTGGCAGGGCCAGGAGGAGGTAGACCAGGCTAGACTAGCTAGCAAAACTCAGACCTAGAGAAAAGGAAGGGAGCAGAGAAAAGTAGAACTACAGGGTTTGGGACTTCTGGTGATCTAGGACCATCTGACACAATGGCCAACTTTGCCTTGTGTTATGTACACTGAAGTAAGTGACTTGGTGACACTGCTGCTTTGAGTAGCAGAAAATCCAGACTCCTGAGAGTGGAGGTGTCCATTTGTAGAGATGCAGGCAGGAGCCTGGATGGTAGCCTCTCCTGGAGGGCAGCTATCAGTTCTCAGGCACACGGGCAGGCCTAAGGCCAGGCACCCAGTAAGGAACAACTCTACAACGCTACAAGTCTAGTAGTTCTGGGTCACAGAGCTCTTCCTTGTGTTGGGGGTGGACACACACACACACACACACACACACACACACACACACACGGATGGACAAGTTCCTGGGCGATTTTTTTTTTTTAAGTACTTGGCTTTGCAACACAGGCACAGAACTGGGGATGCTCTGTCCTGGCCTGGCTGCCTGCACAGTGACCCTGTCACCCTAGAGGTCTCCTGATGCCTTGAGAGGCCCGGCTGACTCTGTCCATATCCCCAGATGTGGCCGGCAGGTTCCTGGTGTCTGACACCTCCACGCACCTGTTGATGTTCACCATGGAGCAGCGGCTGCAGCCCAACAGCGAGCTGGTGCAGGCGGTGCTGCGGCTCTTCCAGGAGCCGGTTCCCAGGACCGCGCTCCGGAGGCACGACAGGCTGGCCCCGCACAGCGCCCGCGCCCGGGTCACCATTGAGTGGCTGCGCGTCCGCGAGGACGGCTCCAACCGCACCTCCCTCATCGACTCCAGGTGGGGGCTGCGGCGAGATGTGTGTCGGAGGATGGCTTGTTGGGCTGCTGCGGGAGGGGAGCAGGAGAGGATGGGGACGTGGACAGGGCGGGACAGTCTCTTCCACCCAGGGCTTCCCTGACAACCGCGCCAGCGCCCTGGTCTGACCCGCGGCTGTGTCTCAGGCTGGTGTCCATCCACGAGAGCGGCTGGAAGGCCTTCGACGTGACGGAGGCGGTGAACTTCTGGCAGCAGCTGAACCGGCCGCGGCAGCCGCTGCTGCTGCAGGTGTCGGTGCAGAGGGAGCACCTGGGCCCCGGGGCCACCAGTGCGCACAAGCTGGTCCGCTTCGCGGCGCAGGGGACTTGGCGCGGCGAGGGTCCTGGCGAGCCACAGCTGGAGCTGCACACGCTGGACCTCAAGGACTACGGGTAGGCAGGGGGCTGGGGGACTGGGTACACTGAGTGGTGTCTTCCCACCGTCTCCTGGACCGGTTTAGGGGTGGCCTGTGCAGGCTGCTCCAGATGACTCATTCCTACCCATAACAGAGATTCAAATATTGAATCACATACATTATTATAAGACTCTATTTCCAATATTTCCTTTAAGAATAAGTCTTTGGCAAATATTAGCTCTAGCTGTTACAGTCAGGTTCTTTTTTTTCAAGGACTGTTAGGGTTATTGGAGGAGCTGAGGAACGCATAATCATGTGTGTCCATGGGTCCCTAAGCTGGATTCAATAGCCACAGATCAAAAATATTAAAAATTCATCTTATTAAGCACATGCTGAACATTTTTTACCTGTTATTGTGTGTGTGAGGGATGTATGTGCGCATCACTGTGTGAAGATCAGAGGACTTTGTTGAATTGCGTCTCTCCTTTCATCTTTGCGTGGGTTCCAGGGATCCAACTTAGGTCACCAGGCTTCCATGGCAAACACTTTGCCCACTGAGCCATGTCTTATAATTTTAAAAATTAAGACCATTTAAAAATATTTTATTTATTATTTTTATTTTATGTGTATGAGTGTATTGCCTGCATGTATGTGAATGCACCCGTGTTGTACAATGCCTCGGAGGTGGGAAGTGGGCTTTGGAGTCCCCTGGAACTGGAGTTAAGGATGGTTCACAGCCGCCATATGGGTCCTGGGAATCGAACCCGGGTCCTCTGCAAGAGCAGTCAGTGCTCTTAACTGCTGAGCTGTCTCTCCAGCCCCAAATTAAGACCATTTTTATTGAGCCAGATGTGGTGGCACACGCCTTGGTGCACTTGGGAGGCAGAGGCAGGCAGATCTCTGGGAGTTTGAGGCCAGCCTGGTCTATATAGCAAGTTCCAGACCAGATGGGGGACTACAGGAAGACCCTGTCTCAAAAAGAAAAAAAAAGACTATTTTTATTTATCTTTGACAATTTCAAACATGTGTATACAATGTGTATTAATCATACCACTCCCAACTCCCCCTCCCATTCCTCCTGATAAGCATATACCTGGTGTGTGTGTGTGTGTGTGTGTGTGTGTGTGTGTGCGCGCGTGCGCGCGTGCGTGCGCGTTTGCGCGCGCGTGTGTTCATGTTTCCTTATTTGTGGACAGGCTTGTGCCATGGCAGGCATGTAGAGATCAGGGGTTAACCTCAAGTGTCAGTCTTCACCTTCCACCTTGTTTGAGAAAAGGCCTCTTTTGTTGTTCAACATTGCAATGGCAAGGCTAGCTGGCCTGGAGCTACCCATGTAGACCGGACCAGCCTGGAACTCACAGAGATCTGCTTGCCTCTGCCTCTGTGCTGGGATTAAAGGTGTATGCTCCACCACACCCTGTCTACCTTCCATTTTGCTTTAGGAGCACAGGGATTACAGAAGCACATTTCCATGCCCAGTTTTATGTGGGTTCTAGAGATTCGAACTCAGGTTCTCACACTTGTGTAGCAAGCACTTTACCCACCGAACCATCTCCCTAGCCTTTGTTTATTGAAGCAAGTGTCTCATGTAGCTCAGTCTGGCCTTGAACTTACTATTTAGCTAAGGATGACCCTGAACTCTTGATCTTTCTTCCTCCACCTCCCAAGTGCTGTAATTACAGGCATGTATCACCATGGCCAGGATTGTGTACTTTTAAAAATCTCTCTGATCAATATAACTATTCACACAGAATGTGCACTTTATTGGGTAGTATAAGTAATTGGATGATTTAGAGTATATTGGATGATGTACATAGGTTATATGCAAAGGCTATTTCATTTTGGTATCTCGGGAGTTTCTGGAGTTCATCTCCCAGGGATACTGGACACTGAGGACAGCTGGGTAGTGGTTAAGATCAGGCCTTTGTTGTGAGCTTAGGCTCTATAAAGCTCTGCTTTTTACTCATGTCAGGTCCTCTGTCATGTCACTGAACACCTTTGGGTCTCAGTGTCCTTGGGTATAATAAGGCTCAGGTTGGAGCCTTCCTTAGGGTCCTCTGAGGATGAAATTCAGAGATCACTCGAGTTAATACTCCGTCCAGTGTCTAGCTCATTAAAAGACTCTTAGCAAGCAGTAACTGACTATGTTCTAGACTCCTTCAATTTTTCTTTATCCTTCATGTGTCCTCTTTGAACACCTTGAGAAATGAATCTTAAGTTTCCTTCCCAGATTCTCCTGACCTCTACACTTACCTTCCCAGCTGACCTCCGACCTCTCCTTGTCCCCACAGAGCTCAAGGCAATTGTGATCCTGAGGCACCAGTAACAGAAGGCAGCCGCTGCTGCCGCCAGGAGCTGTACTTGGATCTGCAGGGGATGAAATGGGCTGAGAACTGGGTTCTGGAGCCTCCAGGGTTCCTGGCCTATGAATGTGTGGGCAGCTGCCTGCAGCCACCAGAGTCCCTGAGCATCAAGTGGCCGTTTCTGGGGCCACGGCAGTGCATTGCTTCCGAGACGGCCTCACTGCCCATGATCATCAGCATGAAGGAGGGTGGCAGAACCAGACCACAGGTCATCAGCCTGCCCAACATGAGGGTGCAAAAGTGCAGCTGTGCTTCGGATGGGGCGCTTGTGCCAAGGAGACTAGAGCCGTAGGTCCCATGTAGCCACTGAGGCCTCTGGCCAGACAGTGCAGAGCAGTAGGTCTCATGTAGATCTGTTTACACTTAGCAAGTCACCCTTGTCCTAACATAGTGCCCACGTTACCTTTGCCCCATGTCCTTCCATTTCCTTTTGTCCTTGTCCATCACCCTGCCTAAGCACTTACATGACTAAATAATGCCGTGCCACTAGGAAGCCCTGGCAGAGGACATGGCTGACCAGTGGACATCTTGCCAGCTGAGAGTCTGCTTTCTGGCAAATTCTCAGCTAATCATGCAACAAAACCTTATAACAGGGGAAACAGCAAACCAACTCTATTACATGATGAATTTAAAACAAAGCTAAACAGAAAACTCTCAGTTTCCCCTAGACAGAAAGGACATCTGGAAAAGAGCCCCCATTGTCCAAAGTACTGACCCATTCTAGACTTAAAAACACACTGAGGACCCTGTTCCTAAGAGGGCTCTAAGAAGAGGGAGGAAAAGGGCCTACAGGCTGGGGCAGTGGCCAGGGAATCATATACGTAGCTTCTGATTCTAATCACAGGTGGGAACCTCAGGGCAATGCAGAAAAAGCCTTTGGGCTACCATTTCCTCTGTAAGGGAGCAATGGGCTTCAGCTCTGACACCTCATTAGTCCAGGAATCCGTCTCTAGTATCATCTGCTCCTCTAGAGCCAGCATTGCTGTGCGTATTTAGTTCCCCCTCTGTCTTAGAGAACACAGGGTGAGAAAGCACCTGTATTTACATGTTTTTGTTGTTTCTTATTAGATCAGCAAGAACCAATTGAATATAATCTGAAGAAACAAAATAAAAGTATTGTTTTGACTCTGTTTCTATGTTGTTTCTAGTACCTCTTCACTAAGAGAAGGGTCTGTTGCTGTGATAAGACACCATGACCTGGGCTGGAGAGATGGCTCAACGGTTAAGAATACTGGTTGTTCTTGCAGAAGACCCGGGTTCGAATCCTAGCACCCACATGGCGGCTAACAACCGTCCGTAACTCCAGTTCCAGGGGATCCGACAGCCTCTTCTGTTCCCCATGGGCATTGCATGACACGGGTGCACTTACCTACAATTACCTACACAGGCAATACACGCATACACATAAAAGTAATAAATAAAATATTTTTTAAAAAAGACACCATGACCAAGGCAACATACAGAAGGAAGAGTTTATTTGAGTTTAGGCTTCCAGGGGTAAGGGTCCATAATGGCAGGGGAGGCATGGCAGGAGTTGACTGGAACAGAAAGCCAAGCGAGCACATCTTCAAGCAGGCTCAGGAAGCAGAGACTGGAAATCTGGCAAGCTTTAAGAACTCTCAAAGCTGTCCCAAAGTGACAAGCTTCTCTCTGAAAGGCCACAAGTCCTAAAACTTCCCAAAACAGTGCCACCAACTGAGGACAAAATGTCAAAATACTTGGAACCTGTGGGGACAATCACATTCAAACTACTACTGGGTCAGTAATAGGGAATGGCAGCAGCATAGAAGAAAAGGGGTCCTCAGAGATCCCCAACTTTGAAAGCAAGAAGACTGAAATAGCTAAGTTTATATTTTCCCATATAATTCTCACTTAAAATATATTATTGTGGCTGGACATGGTGGCACACGCCTTTAATCCCAGCACTTGGGAGGCAGAGGCAGGTAGATCTCTATGAGTTCAAGGCCAGCCTGGTCTACACAGTGAGTTCCAGGACAGCTGGGGCTACAGGGAGACCCTGTCTCAAAAAGACCAAATGAACAATCACATAAACTTCCTCTTTAGAGAGGACTTTAACTCTTGCTATGGTGATTATGGAGATGGGGTGACGGCGTGGCAAGCAAGTATTTATTAGACTGGGCAGGTAACAGTACATGTGTGTCACATCTGTCCTTAAATTCTTCTAATTAATGCACTGAGCCCTTTGAATCCTGGCTAGAATAACTCCATCTTACAGCAAGACACTATTCTGCTGTTTTTATACCAGGATGTATAAAAAAGTCATCTGCTGGGCATGGTGGCGCATGCCTTTAATCCCAGCACTTGGGAGGCAGAGGCAAGCAGATCTTTGTGAGTTCGAGGCCAGCCTGGTCTACATAGTGAGTTCCAGGACAGCTGGGGCTACGGGGAGACCCTGTCTCAAAAAAGACAAAAAAAAAGTTATCTTTCCCACAGGTGGACAGTGTTCAATGAGACCAACAGAAACCCTGATAAGAATAAGGACAGAATTCAGATTAAGCATAATAAGCATCCCAGTCTGATTTTGCTTGTTCCTTTTGTTGCCTGAGTCTGCAGTGTACAGCTAATGTTTTAACAGTAGGTGGCATGCTGAACCCAGGTTTACATATGATCTCTGTTAGACTTTAAGCCATTATAAAATAGGAGCCAGGCAGCAAGAGATTGGGCCTTTTCTATGATGCAGCTGCCTGTGAGACACCCACACTCTGGTAAGTCACACCAATAAACTCATTTATTTTGCCAACCTGGACTTGTCAGAATCTTTCTTTGATCTGTTTATACTTCCTTATTTAGGGAGAACAGATATTTCTTTTACATCTCTCCAGGAAAGGCACACAACACTATTTCTTGACATATGGAAACAAATGCCAGCTTTAAGTCAAATTCCATTAAAAGCAGGATGTATCTTTTTTTTGGTTGTTTTGTGCTTGTTTGTGGTTTTGTTTCTTTTTTGAAACAGGGTCCTGTGCTATGTAGCCCAGGATGGCCTTGAACTCTGACCTTTGTCTTTTTAAAATTTTCTTTTCCTCAGTTTCTTGAAAGCTGAGATCACAGGTGTTTGCTGTCCCCACACCTGGCTAGAAACCAGATGCAATTACAATTTTTCACTTATAAAATAGGACTGTAGGGTGTAGCTCAGTGAATTGATAGTTTAACCTTTTAGCTAAATGAAAGAATTGTTTCTCCAGGTTTGCTTGGAGTCCCTCAAAAATTGTATGTTACAAAGGGCGTTCTCAAAGATCAGCAAATCTTGACTTGTGGTCAGGTAGGCTTTTTTAAAGCTTTCTGACCACAATGGCATGGGACTTTCAGGGGATTTTTTTTTGCCTGTTATGCTGTTAAGTTTGTGTAAACCTCGCTAAATTGCTAACTGCATATTTCTGCCTTTGTTCTGAGCTTGCTTACTTGCTTGCAAATGTCACAGAAGACCTATAAAAGGACTCTGCTCTTTTTTCTCTGGGCCGCTTACCTCCTATTCCCATGGAGAGTAAGTTTGGCCGATTGCAATCGTAAATAAAATTTTCCTTGCTGCACCTCCATCTCTGAGACTACTTGGATCCAGTCTCCGAGACCACAACACATTTCACCCCTGGAACTCTCAGAAGAAAGAACAAATTCCTAAAAGTTGTACACACACACACACACACACACACACACACACTCACATGCACAAATAAATAAAATTTTTAAAAAGAAAGGAGGGACAAATGGAAGGAGGGAGGAAGGAAAGGAGGAAAGGAAGGGGAAAAAAGAGAGGACAAGTCATAACTCACGCCATACTTCCTGTCCCACAGTCTAAACCTGGTCATGTTCAAACAGAGGTACTTCATAGTTTTTACATATTGTTAGAGGTCATTTCTTTTTAAAAATATTTTATTATTTTTATTTTATGTGTATGACTGTATTGCTTGCATGTGTGTAAGTGCACCTGTGCAATGCCCTCGGAAGTCAGAAGAGGCTGTCGTATCCCCCGGGACTGGAGCTACGGACAGTTGTTAGCTGCCATGTGGGTGCTGGGAATAGAACCCAGGTCTTCTGTAAGAGTAGCCAGTGCTCTTAACCGCTGAGCCATCTCTCCAGCCTGCTAGTCACTTTTTCAACTCCCTTAGCATGTGATGAAGACCACATGTAGGCAAAAGATCATTCCAGAGAAGCATTTATTAGGGTGTGGTGGTGCATCACTGGGGAGGTGGCATAGGGCACAGAGGGATAGATGCCTGGCAGACTAGGGCTACTGTGTGTAATTGTTTTGGATGATCACACCAAACTTAGGGCAATCAGTAACTTCTGATTTTACTTGTGGTGTGACCAAGTTCATTAGAAACTCAAGGAAGTATGTAAGGGAAAACAAAATTAAATCTTGAGGAAAAAGGGAGACAAAAATCTAAGCATTCCAGTAAGGCCTTTTTGTTGTTGTTGTTTGTTTTTGTATATATATTAGTTCTATAAGTAGTTGGTTTGTATGAGATGGTTAAAAAGCCCAAAGATTAAAGGTTTCATCCTGGGGCTGGAGAGATGGCTCAGCTGTTAAGAACACTGGCTGTTCTTGCAGAAGACCCGGGTTCGAATCCCAGCACCCACATGGCAGCTAGCAACTGTCTGTAACACCAGTCCCAGGGGATCCGACAGCCTCTTCTGACTGCTGCGGGCATTGCATGACATGGGTGCACTTACCTACATACAGGCAATACACATAAAATTTAAAAAATAAATAAAAGTTTTAAAAAAGTTTCATCCTTTTCATTTTTTGTGTATAGAGTGGTTGTTTGTTTTAGTCTGTTCTATGTATGAAGCAGTGTTGCCTAAAATTGTTTTTGAGAAAGGGTCTTGTGCTGGATAGCTTTAGCGTCAACTTGACACACGTGGGTTGAGGGAGCCTCAACTGGGGAATTGCCTCCATTGGACTGGCCAGTGGCCATGTCTGTGGGATATCTTTTTGATTGTTGAGTGATTTGGGAGAGCCCAGTCCACTGTGGGTGGTGCCGCCCCTGGGCAGGTGGGCCTGTGTTGCATAAGAAAGCAGGTTGAGGAGGGGCCAGGGGAGCAAGCCAGTAAGCAGAGTTTCTCCATGGCCTGTGCTCCAGCTTCTGCCTCCAGGTTCCTGCCCTGAATTCCTACCTTGGGCTCCCTGATGAACTGTGACCCGGGAGATGTAAGCCAAATAAACCCTTTCCTCCCCATGCTGGTAGTGGTCAGAGTATTTTGTCACAGCAATGGAGAAACAAACTAGGACAGGTTTCATATAGCCCAGGCTGGCCTCACAATCAATAAGTAGCCAAGGGTGATCTTGAACTTCAGATCCTTCTGTTTCCACCTTTCAAGTGCTGGGATAACAGGCATGTACTGCCACACCAAGCTTATGTTGTGCTGCGGATGGAGCCCAGGCCTTCATGTATGTAGGTAAGCACTTCCAACTGACCTATATCACCAGCTTTCCAATGATAAATTGGAATTTTAATTAATATTTGAGACGATTTCTTTCATCATGTAGCCCAGACTGGCCTGAACCTCCCAGTCCTCCTGCCTCAGTCTCCTGAGTGCTGGGATTACAGACATGCATTACCAGTCCCATTTTATCTTGCTGAGTTGTCCTAACAAAAAGATAAAGATTAAAATCAAGTTTAAGATGTGCCTTATGGTGTAGAAAAAGGATGTATAGAGAGTTATTCTCCAAAAATGTCATATTGGTTCTTCTTAGGCAGTGAGATTAAAGATAGTGCTTGGCTGCAGATCAGTGGTGAGCTCCAGCCTCACTTGTGTGAGAACTGAAAAAGAAAAGAAAAAAGGGGACAGTTTTTATTTGATCTAACTTTTTTTGGTAATAAACATGGATACTTATAAAATTAAAATAAATGCAAAATGTAAGAACCTGAGAGGTTCCTAGATGAGGGAGGGCTGGGGGCTAGAGACTTTGTCTTCTGTTTAGCTGGGGGAAGTTCAAATTTCTGTTCCATTGGCTGCATCATGTCAGTTCTTAGCAGGGGCAGGCCTGTTATTTAAAGATAAGACAGGAGGAAGACCCTGAGGCCCTGAGAGTGCAAACCTGGACTAGTGAGAAATAAACCATCCACTTGAGACAACTGAGTGAGAGAGAAGTGGACTCAGGGGAGTGAGGGAGGGGGCCCAACTGGTTAGACTGGTGGGTGGGAGGAGCAGCGGTAGAAGGGAGGAACACCCCGGAGACACATGTCAGACATGCAGAAGATAAGGCCGGATGGCAGGATGGTGGTGCCAGGCTGGGGCCCTCAGTAAGGGTGTGTCTCAGATGGTGGGTGCTGACCTCAGGCTTTCTCGCCTCTCAACTATCACTTTGCAACCTTGCCATGATGGCAGATGGTGCTGTGTAGTTCCAGCTTCTTGGGAAGCTGTGGTAGGAAGATTGGTTGAGTGAGCACAGGGTCTCAAGGCAAACCTGGGCAACACAGCAAGACCTTGGCAAAACAAACAAAGTCACAAATCATGGCATTCTAGAACTCTTATTTTTAGGTGATCCATGCTGAGATCTCGTCACAGAAGTGTGAATATTTTAGGGGCCAGGCAGGTGGGCTAGGGGGTAAAGGTGCTTGCCACACAAGCCTGACAAAAGATTTCAATCTTCTGAACCCATGTAAACACCCACATAAAGCCGTATGCAGGGGCATCTATAATTCCAGCACTCCTATGGGGCAGGGAGGCAGAAGAGTCACCCAGAAACTCCCCACCAGCTAGCCTGAAGTACGGAGCAGTGTAGATGAACACGTTCGGAGAGACCTTTCTTCAACCAGGTCGATGGTGAGAACTGACACCTGGAAGTTGGCCTCCGACCTGCACATGCGTGCTGTAGTCTCTAGTCTCTTGCTTTTTTTTTTTTTTTTTTGGAGATAGGATGTCCCTGTAGCTCTAACTGGCCTGGAACTATGTAGACCAGACTGGCCTCAATCTCACAGAGAGCCACCTGCCTCTACCTCCTGGGTGCTGGGATTAGAGGCAAGTGCTACCATGCTTGGCCTCACACACAAAGTAAAAAACAAAACCAAAAAAATTTTACTTATTTTGTGAGAGGGGGCTGGAGAGATGGCTCAGTGGTTGAGAGAACTGGCTGCTCTTGCAGAGGACCCAGGTTCGCTTCCCAACACCCACATGGTGGCTAACAACCCCATCCTTAATTAGTTCCAGGGAATCTGATGCCCTCTTTTGACCTCCATGGGCATTGCACGACACAGGCGCACCAACACACACACACACACACACACACACACACACACACACACACACACACACACAGTACACTCATACATAAAATAAAAATAATAGATAAATTAAAAAAATTTTTTTACCAAAACTTCATACATGCATATAAGGTATTTTGATCAAATCCATGCCCACTCCCTCCTCTCCAACATTCCCCCCTCTGAAGAGGTAACCCTAAAATCTTTTAAGGATTATATATTTTAAAAAATGTTTTCTGAGGATCGGGATTTTTGTTTTTGTTCACAGCTGTACTTCCAGAGCCTGGCTGGATCAGTGAATTAAGTCTAATGTTAATTTCGGAAAAATTACATTAGTAGGGTGCATCCATGAGTGGAATAAGTACTCAATAAAATCTACTTTTCAATAACTTTCAATGACATTGGTAAATTTCTTTTAAAAAAAAACTTCCAACCGGGGAACACCACTACCCCAACCCGGAAATCCGAGCTCGGGCTGGCTGGGAGGAGTTACAGGCGCACAGCTCCGGCAGGGCCACCGATAGGTCCTCCCGCAGCCTCGCATTGGTTTCCTGGGACACGTGGCCTCAGAGCTACAGGAGGCCTACGGCGGTGGATGCTCCAGCCTTGCGTCCACCCAGCAGCTCCTCAGATCCAGTCTTCCTCGCGCCGACCCTGAGCCCAGGACCCCTCGCCCTCCCCAGCGGCACCTCCCGGTCGGCGCTCGCCCGGCTCCCGCCGCTATGAGCGTGGGTTTCATCGGTGCGGGCCAGCTGGCCTGCGCGCTGGCTCGGGGCTTTACGGCCGCAGGTGAGCACCGAGGCTGGGGCGGGTTTCCTGGCGAGCCCCAGGCCTGTTTTGGGGCAGCCCTCCATCTCTCGGAGTGAAAGGATGGACGAGGAGTGAGTGAATGGAGGGGAATGTGCATCCATCTGCTGGGATGCAGGAGCGTCGGAGTCCGGCCCTGTTAGAGCAGCTGTGGGCTTCGATCTTGCTTTTCCAGGGACAGCACGGTTGGGCCGTGATCCCCACTTGAAAAGCCTTGTTCTCCGCAGGCATCCTGTCGGCTCACAAGATAATAGCCAGTTCCCCGGAAATGGACCTGCCCACGGTGTCTGCGCTCAGGGTAGGAGGGGATGGAGGGGAGTGGGAAAAGTGTGACGTGAAGTGAACCCAGTGTGACTGAGGGAGGTCATCCATGTAAGTCTTCTACCTTCTCTGAGGCAGCCTAGTGTTGTGGGAGCCCCCAGGCAGAGTTGGCATGTGATCCAGACAGTGGGATGATAGTAGGTGCCCAGTGAAAACACTGCCCACCCTCGTAGTGTAGTCTTGCCTTTAACACACTGTTTAGGCCAGGTTGACTTCCAAGTCTGGGAAGCCCTGCCACAGTTTCCCAAGTGTTGGGATTCCAGGTTTGAGCCACCATGTGGGCTAAGGACATTTTCTTCATTGATTTTTGTATGACGTTGAAGTACTCAGCCAACCACTCTGAGGCTGTTTCCTCATTTACAGTAGCCATTGGCTGTTGTCTTAAGGCACAAATGATGGTGCTGGGAAAGGACCTGGTGAGTTGGTGTTTCTCTGCTTAAAGCTTCGTTTCACCTCTTGTAAAACATGGCTAATTTGGGAGAGGACAGCCAAAGAGGCAGTTGATAAGCAGTGCTGGTGCATGGTATGGGCTGATGTCCCTAGCACTGTGGGGCTCTGCTACTTCCCTTGGACTGCTAGAGGGATGGACCATCTTCCAGCCCAATTCTGGGCCCTGTGTAGGCTGGGTATTCTGGTGAATGGTAGCTAGGTTTGGAATTGGCTCCATTCAGCTCTGTTCCCAGCCCCTGGGCCTTAACTTTATACTTTTCTTTGTGCACATATCACTGTGGGGGTTCCCACCTGACCAGAGAGGTGTCAGAGGATTGTTGGGGTTGAGGGCACAACCTCTTTTCTGGGCACTATGGAGAAGCTTGTCAAATACAGCACCTGTGCATACTTGCCTGGTGGCACAGGATAAGGAATTTCTGGCTGCAACTGGCAGAGTGGGCTTGGCAGAGGGTTACTGTTCCCTGGAGTCACGGGCCTTAGCCAGACTGCCTAGCACTGTTGGCTGGGTCTTCTTTTCCTGCAGAAGATGGGTGTGAACCTGACCCGAAGCAACAAGGACACTGTGCGGCACAGCGATGTCTTGTTCCTGGCTGTGAAGCCTCATATCATCCCCTTTATCCTGGATGAGATTGGAGCTGATGTGCAGGAGAGGCACATTGTGGTCTCCTGTGCAGCCGGTGTCACCATCAGCTCTGTAGAGAAGGTGCCCATCTCTTCTTTCCTGATGCCCTTTGTATGAGGAAGGGTGGCCTGGGAGTGGCAGCTGGAGGCTGGTGTAGCTATGTCCTGGGCACTCACTTGACTCGTTTTCCTGCTTCAGAAACTGATGGCCTTCCAGCCAGCCCCCAAAGTGATCCGATGCATGACAAACACACCTGTGGTGGTACGAGAAGGCGCCACTGTGTATGCCACTGGCACCCATGCCCTGGTAGAGGATGGGCAGCTTCTGGAGCAGCTCATGAGCAGCGTGGGCTTCTGTACAGAGGTGGAGGAGGACCTCATTGATGCCATCACTGGGCTCAGTGGCAGTGGGCCTGCCTATGTGAGTGGTCCTCACCTGTTTGCTTTGTGGACATCCTAGGTGGCAGGAGAGCCTGGGCCCATCTTCTGGGTATGGCTGGCTAGTGAAGGCAGTTGATCCTTGGAGCTAGTTCTAGTCATAAGGTTAAATAGCCCTGGAGGTTGGGGGCTTGGATGCTTGCCACCTGGGCTCAGAGATTTTCTCCACAGGCATTTATGGCTCTGGATGCCCTGGCTGACGGTGGGGTGAAGATGGGTGTGCCACGGCGTCTGGCAGTTCGACTAGGAGCTCAGGCCTTGCTGGTCAGCATTTTCTCTACATGTTTGGCCTTAGGGTTGTACAGTGGGGTTATTATGAGTTGCTGAGCTGGGGGTGGGCTGGTTAACATTCTTCTAATGTTCCTTTGTGCCTTAGGGAGCTGCTAAGATGCTGCTGGACTCAGAGGACCATCCAGGCCAGCTCAAAGACAACGTCTGTTCTCCGGGAGGAGCTACTATCCATGCCCTGCACTTCCTAGAGAGTGGGGGCTTCCGCTCTCTGCTCATAAATGCAGTTGAAGCGTCCTGTATCCGAACAAGGTAGGTTTTCCCTGCTGTTCCCTGCTACACTCCTTCCACAGCAGCCTGCCCTTGGGCTAGGCTGATTCTACTGTCTTACATTCCATGAGCAGTATTGACATTGGTGCTCTGTCAGTAGCTAACTAGACTTTAGCTAAGGGTTTGCTGGCCCTATTCACTTAATTCTTACCACAGTTCTGATTATTTGTAGATGGGGAAGTTTAAGGTCAAACAGCTATAAGTGGTAGAGTTGAGTTTCCAAGACTGACTTCAAACCCTGTAATCTCCCATGCTTTTTTCTTCTCTGTGTGGTCACAGCAATCACTAAAACGTAATAACTAGCTCGGGGGCTGGAGAGATGGCTCAGCAGTTAAGAACACTGAGTATTCTTGCAGAAGACCCAGGTTCGAATCCAAGTACCCACATGGCAGCTAACAACTGTCTGTAATTCCAGTTCCAGGGGATCCAACAGCCTCTTCTGTCCTCCGTGGGCATTGCACGACACGGGTGCACTTACTTACATGCAGGCATAACACTCATACATGTTAAAAAAAAAACAAACAAATAAACCCAAAAACGTTATAACTAGCTCACATCAAATTAATTAAATTTGACAGTCCCCTGCTTATTTGAATAGGACTCCTAAAGAGCTTAGAACTTTGGTTTGAGATTAAAGTTTTGGTGGTGTCAGGTTGAGGTTCTGGGGCTGTGTGGCTAGGGAAGACTTACGTTCTAGCCCCAGAGTTTGTCATCTTCCTTCGACCCTGGTGGGGCTTTGTCTACAGAGAGTTGCAGTCCATGGCTGATCAAGAAAAGGTCTCCCCTGCTGCCCTTAAGAAGACTCTTCTGGACAGAGTGAAGATGGAGTCTCCCACGGTGTCCACACTCGCCCCACCCAGTCCAGGAACGCTCCTCACAAGAAACCCAGCCCTGGGAAGCAAGAAGGACTGAGGATCCTCTGCCTCCTTTCAACACCCAGAGCCATTGGTTAAGGGGCTTTGGTCCCCTCTCCCCAGCAGTGCAGGGTGGGGCAGGCTCAAGTTAGCTCCAGGTTCTGAGGATGAAAACTGCTTAGATCTGTTCACACTAGGTAGCGCTAGGTCCCTCTCTTGTCCCATGTTGAAAGATGCTCTAAAGAGGCAGCAGAAGCTGAAAGCCAGACAAACCTACACACCTGTATTGGTAGAGTAGTGGTAGGCACTGAGTTAGCATTCCCCCCAGTAGGAATATCTGTGGAAAACTTTAGCTGGTACCCAAGGCTGGCTCAGTTTGATGCTAAGGTAAGGCAAGGGAAAACACGGGCCTGGCCTCAGGATTGGTAACATACAAAAGCACACAACTTGGAAAGGGCGTAATCAAAGTGCGGAAAATTGCGTGCTGTATTTAAGTCTGGCTTCACAAGGTGTCCCGTTTAGAAAGTAATTTTCAGTGCTGAATTTAGCTGCTTTAATAAAGTTTATATTTATTTATTTATTTTTGAGATAGACTCTTCACTATGTATCCCAAACTGACCTAGAACTTACTGTATAGCCCAGATGGACCTGAGACTTGTGGTGATCCTCCTGCCTCAGCTTCCTGGCTGCTAGGGCTGCAAGCATGTGCTACCATGCCAGCTAAGTTTATTTTTATTACCCTGTTTTTCTTGCAAGCCACATTCTGGAGAGCTCAAGGCCCTCTAGACCTTCCTGCTCCTGTGAGACAACTCTGTCCAGGGCTGGGAAGTAGGGCTGAGGAGGTAAGGGACTAGGCCCTGAGAGTTGCCGGGACTAACCCATCCCAAGCTAATGGCAGAGAGGACCCAGTGGCAGCAGCCTAGACACCAAGCAGTTACCTTGCAGGCCAGAGGTTCTTCCCCATTGCCTGGTGGGAGGTTGTGTTCTCTTTCTCACATTCTGTGGGGTGTCAGGGCCTGATGAAGCCATCTGTTTTTTTCTGGTCTTTTTTAAGATAGGGTCTCCCTATAGCCTCAGCTGACCTGGAACTCACTATGTAGACCAGGCTGACCGTGAACTCAGAGATCTGCCTGCCTCTGCCTCCTGAGTGCTGGGACTAAAGGCATGTGCCACCATGCCCAGCTCAGAGGCCATCTGTTCTTAAGCACTGACTCTCCAGTCTTCCAGAAGTCAAGGTCAGTGCGCTGGGGCTGGGCTCCAGGAACCCCTGTCCATGCCCAGCTTCCTTCTTTGTCCTCCTAGGACTGATTCTTGAGCTGCTTGGGCAGCCTTCAGTCCCATTACTTCATGGTGAACTTCTCTGAGAGCCTCAGAGAAGTATCTATACCTCTGTTTTTAAAATATTTTATTATTTTTATTGCCTGCATGTGTGTAAGTGCACCTGTGTTATACAATGCCCACAGAGGTCAGAAGAGGGTGTCAGATCCCTGGAACTGGAATTGACAGTTGGTTATTACCTACCTTGTGGGTTCTGGGAATCAATCCCAGGTCCTCTGCAAGAGCAGCCAGTGCTCTTAACCACTAAGCCATCTCTCCAGCCCCCATACCTCCATTTTACTCTTCTGAAATGGACTTCTGCCTTGGCTGCTAATGATAGTTCCTCCGGGACAGTGAGATTGAAGTTGGGGTTCACTTGCTTTTTTCCACTTTAGTTTGTTGATTGCTGTTAGCAGACTTGATTTTGGTAGTTTTAACAGTTTGGGACTGGAGGTATAGCTTGGTGGTAGAGCACTTATCTAACAGCAAAAGGTCCTGGGTTCTAGCCCTAACAGGGGGAAAGAAAAAATATTAACCATTTTTTTTTCCATCATGCCTCACTCTTGGGTGGTGCGGAAACACAAATATACTCTTCTTTATCCCCTATGGCACTGCATGACTGTTGCTAAGCAACACTTTCCAGAGATACCAGAGAGTTGCTTTAGCCCAAGGGCCTGGCTGACTGACTTTCCTTTAGAATTCCAGGCCCTTCTGTGTATATAAGCAAGGTAACATCACAGAGGGCTTGGTGGGGGCTAGGGTGTGGCTGAGTGTGTTTAGTGTGCAGAAGGCCTTGGGTTCAATCTCTAGCACCAAAAAACATGGCTACCTGAATTCCATTCCTGGAATCCACATAAAAGTGGAAGGAAAGTACTCCATAAAGCTGTTCTGACCTGCATGTGGGCACCCGCACTCACACCATGCATACACACACACACACACACACACATACACACACACTAATAATAATAATAATAAAATTAAAGATATACAAGTCAGTAAGAAGGAAACCTAGGGGCTGGAGAGATGGTTCAGTGGTTAAGAGCACTGACTGTTCTTGCAGAGGACCCAGCACCCACATGGAGGCTAACAACTGTAACTCCAGTTTCAGGGGATCTAATGGCATCTTCTGTATTACTATGTAGACCAGGCTGATCTTGAACTTAGGCCACCCTGCCTCAGTCTCTAATACTGGGTTACAGGCCTGTTATATACCTTTTGGTACTACTATAGAGATCAGAAACCTATGACATTATGTCCTAGTTACAGAGTGCATCTGGAGTTCCCGAGGGGGCTGCTGGGAGCTCTGACTACAGAACTTGTGGGTCCCAGGTGGGCAGTCAGGGCTGGAACATACCCTGCCTGCCCCACTTTGGTCTAAACTGTGTCCAGGAACACTCTGGGCATGAAGATACCGTCCTTGGCACAGTGGGTAGAAGAGTCCTCAAAGGAGCCTACCTTCTGTGAAACTAGCTCCAAGGTAGTTTGAGAGCCCTCTTCTGGCCTCTGTTGACAGCAGCATCTCTGATAACTATTGCCATCCATTCCCCTGTCTCCCCCAGTGGTTTGGGGGCTCCATGTGGAATGGGGCTGTTGGCTGTCTTCCTGGTCCTAGAACTAGGTACCTCAATAAACACTGAATGGACATGTGAGTGTGTGAATGAGTGATAGCCCTTCTGCTTGCATCAGTCAGCTGTTTCCTGATGTGCTTGAGGAAGCCTCTGGGTTAAGCGAAAACCTTCCTCTCTCCTGGTGTTGGGAATCTAACCCGGGACCTTGAGTGTGTTACGCATGTGCATTATGGCCGAGTGACACACAGCCCCCCAGCCTGACCTTGAACCTGTTTTGATGTTCTTTTATTTAATGAGTGAATTCTGTTTTGTTTTAGTCTTTGATTTGGTTTGGTTTCTTGCCATATAGCCCACACTAACCTTGAACTCTACACAGCTGAGACTGGCCTCAAACTTGCAGTTCTCCTGCCTCAGTCTCTGGAGTGCTAGGTTTATAGGCTGCTGGGATCACAGGCATATATCACTAAACCATCACCGTGAGTATTTATCAAACACGTCGTAAGGGTGTTACTTGTGCACTTAAGTGAATTGCAGTCCTGGGGCACTGCCCCTTCCCCAGGAGACTGCCAAGGCTTTTTCAATATATGAAGAAAGGTTTCCTGCCTGTTCTTAACAGCCTTTGCTTTTTCGGATAGGAAAGAAAGGCTCAGGGATACTTAAGTGATAGGAAATTGAGAGGGAAACCAATTCACAACAGTTTTCAACTTGAGGATTGTGTGGATAAATGTTCTGTCCTTGAAAACCAAAGTGTCCGGAAATGTAGCATGGTAGGCTGGAGCAACATGAGGGTTTTTTCAATGTCTGACAATAGAGGTACCTGGGAGAGCCCCCTCTTCCCACCTCCCTAACTCCTGGAGTGTCTACTGGTAGGTTCCTTAATCAGGACACAGAGGAGGCATTTCCTGAGACTGGATGTTCAGTGCTTCAGAAATGGCTCTCCCTAAGCTTCTCCTCATAAGGCTGTGTCCTGTTCCAAGGTTCAGTTTTTCCCATCAGTAAAATGGGGGATACATCATAATTTGTTAAGATGAGAGAAGGGGGTAGAGCTTGGTGACAAAGGGAGTTGTTAGTATGAAGGAAGTCCTGAGTTCCATCCCCAACACCAAAACAACAAAAAGAGACATCAGGTCATACAAGGAGCTGCCTGACATGAGAAGATCATGTATAATCATTTGTTATGGAAGTTTACAAGGAGTTCCTTGGCTGGGCGTGGTGGCACACGCCTTTAATCCCAGCACTCAGGAGGCAGAGGCAAGCAGATCTCTGTGAGTTCAAGACCAGCCTGGTCTACATAGTTCCAGGCCAGCTGGGGTTACAGGGAAACTCTGTCTCAAAAAGACAAAATAAAAAAAAGAAAAAAGAAAAGGAGTTCCTTGATCAGACACAGTCTGGGCTTCATGATAGAGAAGAAGGGAGCTTGTGTGTGGTTGCAGAGAGGAGGAGCCTGTCAGAGCCACATGGCCACCCGCCCCAGTGCCTACAGGCCATGCAGTGACCCAGGTACACAAAGGCTTTACACAGTCACCTACCACCCTGACAGAAAAACAGGCAATTATTTGTGTGTGTGTGTGTGTGTGTGTGTGTGTGTGTGTGTGTGTCAGGTAAATGCAGGGCCTCATGCATACTAAGCACACACTACCACCGAGCCATACTTCAGCTTTTTTAGTTAATGGCCTTGAATTTGTGATATTTTGATCTTCTTGCCTTAGCCTACTGAGTGTTGGGATTACAAGTGTGAGCCACCACCCCTGGATCTATTTTCTATTTTAATGAAATAACCTGAAACTGAAACAGAGATTTGCCCAAGTCACCTGACCAGTGAGGATTAGAACCCAGGCTTTTGCTCTTCCTGCTAGCAGAAGTTTACTAACTTGGAAAGAAAATACCTTTGACCATTGATCAGTTGAAGAGATGCTGTATAAGAATGTAAGATTTACATAGTCTTAGACCTCAAGGTGGAAAAGAAGCTGACAGGCACCCTGCCATTCTCTGAGTTTTTCTTGGTCACCTAATACTTTGTTTTTGACTTTGGCAGTGCTGGGGGTGGAACCCAGACCTCCTGCCAGGTGGAAGTGCTCTGGGACTGAAAGCTTAGCAAAACCAAATATAGTCTTCATTTTTATCCGGGTTTGAACGAAAAAGAACAAGAAATGAACACTTATGGAGTTGCTAAGGATGCCCACTGCATTACACACCGGCTTCCTTTGCAGTGATCCCAGGGGCTCCACTAGCCCAGGCATTGGCCCATTCTTATAGTCTGGGCTTCTTCAGGTAGGAGAGAACAGTTCAGGGCACTTAAGTAACGGTGAACTGCGAAATCACTCCAAGGTGTCCTTAAATCCAG